AAAAAAAAAAAAAAAAAAAAAAAAAATCAAGTTTTAAAAATGAATATTCTAAAAAATTCAAAGAATATATGAAATATAAAATATTAAGTTATTATATATAATTTCACATAATAAATACGAATATAAAATTATATATATATATTCATATATATATATGAATATATATATATTCATATATTATTTGACAAAATGAAATGTTTACCTTTCTTGCATCAAATAAAACTTTATTTGTTTTATTTTCTAAAATAGAATCAAAACCTTTTTTTATATTTTCATGGTATTCTAAATAATCTGTTTTAACTTTATTTAATTTATGTTCGTTTCTTATAACTTTATCTAAATGTTTTTGATTGGATGTCGTTACAGTTTGTAACTTTTTTATCTTTTTTTCATAATGTTCTATAGAAGAGCTTAGATGTCTTTTTTTTATACATAGATTTTGTACATTTTTTATTTTATTTAAAGTATTATTAACCATAGTTTTAGATTCAGTAATTTGACTTGTTATTTGTTCTCTTACATTATTAAAAGAATTCAATATATATGATACATGTTTAATTATTTCTAAGTTTACATCGTTTTCAAAGAAAGACATTAAGCATGTATTTAAATCACTTATCATAATATTAATATTTTTAATTGCACTCTCCAACCTCTCTAAATATAATAAGGAATGAGAAAAGTAGTTATGTAATGAATTTAAATGCTTCCTTTCAATATAAAACTCATCATCATCTTTTAGGCTTTCGCTAGATTTTCGAAACTGCTTTAAAAAAAAAAAAAAAAAAATGGACATTAATAAAATAAAAATACAGTATATAAAAGATTAATAAATTTATAGTAGAAAGAAAAAAAGCAGTATTAAAAAAAAAAAAATAACATAAAAATAAATATGTATATGAAGAAATAAATAATAAATATCATTAATTTCTTTAAAAAAAAAATTTCTTATTTTTTCATTTTTATTTTAAATTGTACCTTATCAACAAAAGCTCTCATATTTCTAATGTTTTGAGCTAAAATCTATCTTAATGCAAATAACAAAAAAAAAAAAAAAATAAATAAATAAAAATAAAAATAAGAATAAAAATAAAATTAAAACTAAAATTAAAATTAAAAAAAAAAAAAAAAACTACATTATAAATACATCTAATAAGTTCTCTCTCACAATATTTTTGAATATATATGCTTATTTTTTGCTTTAAGTCATGATACTTTTATTTATAAGTTAAAAAAAATTTAAATATATCAAAAAAAAAAGATTAAATAAATAAAAAAAAAAAAGAGCTCAAAATTTTCTAATTGAGTTTATTAGGTAAGTGAAAAATAAAATAACATAAAAATAAAAATGTGTATATTAAAACTGTAGAAATAATACAATAATTTTATAAATTTTAATTTATCCTTTTCAATATAATCTATATAAAAAGTTATAAGGCAAAAATGTAATAAAAATAAAAGAATATAATTTTAATTTTATTTTTTTTTTCTCCTTAGGATTATATGGAATTTTTTTTTTATTATATTTTCACTCTTGCATAAAAAAGAAAAATATGTTTTTCAAAATTACGAAAAATAGTATGGATTTTTTTTTAACACTTAGAAAAATTCTTTTCTTTTTCTTATTTAATAAAGTATGATTATTAAAATTAAAAACATTTATTCAAAGATGTTTTATATTAGTAAAACTAAATATTGTAATTCTATAAAAATGAAGTTACAACTAAAATTAATTTAAAAAACCATGTCAATATTATACTGTAAAAAAAAAAAAAATATATTATCAAAAAAAAATGATGTTGTAAATTTTTGCTGCTTGTAAAAAAAAAAAAAAAATATATTTAACTATCTTTAACAATGAAATTAATTTTTTTTCAAAAATTCCAAAATTTTATATATTTCTCTTTAATAATAATATATCAATAAAATCTTCAGATAAAACAAAATAAATTAATTCGAATTTCCTTTTTTATATATATATATTTGGTTTAATTAAATATAAAGAAATTTTTTTTTTTTTATTATTTTTAATAAAAATATGAAATTTAAAATTACATGCAACATATTAATAAATTTCTTAAGTTATTACTTGAATTTTTTGAATTTCTCATTTTTTTCTTATTACTTTAATATATCGAAAAAAAAAAAAAAAAAAAAAAAAAAAAAAAAAAAATTAATATAGCAAACAAATATTTCACATAATTTCTTGTTAAAAAAGAAAAAATGTTTTTGTTAACATTTCCGTAATTTTCAGAAATTTTAAAACCAGTAAAATATATTGATAAATTGACAGCTTTCTATTAGTGCTATATTATTTTTTAAAATATTTATAGAGAATACATTTTTTTTGTGATTTTTTTTAATATGCATATTAACTATATTATGTTTTATATATATTTCTCTTTATATTTTTTTATTTTTAAAATTTGTAAAATAAGTAAACATTTATATTCTATATAATAAAATTCCTTTTTTAAATAGTATACTATTTTTCAATAAAATATAATTTTTTTTTTTTTTTCTTTGGAATATTGAAGTACTAAAAATAAAAAAAAATAAAATGAGAGAATATATCAATATATATTAAAATGTCTGCTGGAGCAAATTATTAAAATTATAACATGTTATAATATAATAAGTACAGTAACATTTATTTTTTTATTTTTTTTATATTTTTATAAATTTTAAATATATATTAATTTTACATTTTTAATTTAATTTTTTTTTCTTTCATTTTCTCTTTTATACCTTTTGTATTTTTTAGTCATATTAAAACAAAATTTTTTGTTCATAAATTTTAATATAAATAAATTTTGTAATCTATTATAAAATTCTTTAAAAAATGAATGTTTAATTTTCTCCTTTTTTTTTCTTTTACTATCTTTTAACATATACGTATTGTTTTTAATATTAAGAAATATTAATGAATGTATATTATATTTTTTTTTTTTTTTGTAATAGATATCAAAAATTAATAATTAAAAAAAGTAAAAAAATTAGTCTTATTTTTTAATTGTAACATAAGAATTAAAAAGATATTTTAATCACACACACACACAAAAAAAAAAAAAAAAAAAAAAAAAAAAAAAAAAAAAAAAAAAAAAAAAATAATAAAAAGTAAAAGGAAAAACATATTAATAAAGTATAGGTGTTTTAAGTTAGACAAAGTAATTTTTCTTTTATCCAAATAAAAACATAATTTTTAATAAGAAATAAAAATAAAGAAAAAAATATACTATAAATAGAAAAAAATGTTGAAACATTATTTCATCTAAATTTTTAGTACAAAGTTATAGGCTACATTTATAAATTGATTAGGAATTTTATTATTTGCTTCATTTATATGTAATAAAACAAGAAGTTTTAATTTTAAGAATAAGAGGGTAATAAATGATCACATATATTTAAAAAAGGAATAAAAAGAAAAAAAAAGTAAAGGAGAAGAAAAAGAAAAAAAAAAAAAAAAAAAAAAAAAAAAAAAAAAAAAAAAAAAAAGAATAAAAAAAAGAATAAAAAAAAAAAAGAATAAAAAGTTATTAAAGGAAATATTTTTAAATAATAAAAGAATAAATGAAAAAAGAAATGGATAATTTAGAAAATCATAATAATAAAAAATATGAGTATCTAAATAATGATTATGATACTATTTATGAAGTAGATAAAGAAAGGGAATTATTAACTAAAAATTATAATACAGAATTAGATTATAATTATGAAAATAATTTAATAAATGAAAATGATAATAATTTAAATGATTATGCAAATATAAATGATTTTCACTATATTAAAAATGATAATAAAAATAATATGAATTTAGAAAAAATAAAATTAATTAACGATAATAATAAACAATTAGAAGAAATAAATAAGGATTATGATAATATAAATATTAATTTTGATAGCAACGAAGAATGTTCTGAAACTCATTATGATTTTGAAAATAAATATAATGATGATAAAAATTCTGAGAGTAACATTCTAATTGAGTCAGGGGATATAATACCTTCTGAAAGGTCCCATATAAGAACAAAAGTATTGGTGGCAGGAAAAATAGCGTTAATACTATTTTTATTTTTATTAATTATTTTTGCATTCACAAAATTTAAAAAGTTTCTTATATTAATGCATATAGTTATTGAATGGGTAGGTAAACAAGGATCATGGAGTATTGTTTTATTTATATTATTGTTTACCTTTTTATCTCCATTATTTATGTCAGTAGAAATTATGTGTATTGGATCTGGATTAATATTCTCAGGTGTATATGGGAAAGTTCTAGGAGTAGTTATAGCTGTTTTTTCAGTTGCAGTTGGTTATGTTTTAGGAATGTCTTTATGTTTTTTTATATCAAGATATCTTATTCATAACTATATTTATAAAAAATTAATGGTCTATCCTATATATTTAGCATTTAATCAAGCAATTAACTCAAACGGACTGTCGTTCGTTCTGTTAATTCGTTTATCACCAATATTACCTGCATCATTAGTTAGCTATATACTAGGAGTAACATCCTTAAAGTATAAAGATTTTGCCATTGGATCCGTTTCTGCTTTACCAAGTACACTTATATAAATAAATAAAATAATAATAAATTAAAAATCAATATATAATATTTTTTTTTTCTTTAATTGTTTCACCTATTAATAGGTATTTTTCTTTTTGTATACATTGGTGCTTTACTACAAGACATATCTAATTTATCAGGTAATATAATTATAGATTTTTTTTTTAATATTTTTATATTTTTTATTAAATTTTTTTTTTTTTTTTTTTCCCTTTCTTTTAAAGAATTAGAAAATCATTGGAGCAATTTAGTCATTCTATTTATTGGCTTTATTATTGGCGTAGTTGCAATTATATATATAACAATTATTACAAAGAGAAGATTAAACAATTTAAATATTATGAATACTTCATTATCTACAACAAATGTAGATATTGAATAAAAAAATGAAATAAAATAACAAAAAATATGGTATTATATAAATGAGAAATAACTTATGTTTATGTAATTAATTGTATTGATGCTATTTTTAATAAGAAGAAAATAGATAAATATACAATAATATATTTAATTTTGAGAAGTTATTTTTAATTTATATTTTTTAAGGAATCAAATCATTCTAATTTTTTATCTTTTTTTGATTCTTTTAAAAAATTTCATTTTTTTTTTTTTTTTTTTTAATTTTTTGTCTAATAAAATCCATTATCATTACATTCATCCTTAACATCATATTCTTCTTCATACTCTTCATCATCTTTTTCATCTTCATAATCTGATGCATTTGATTTTTCAGATGAATCATTTTTTGTGTTTATATATTCACTACCTTTTTCATTACTTAAAACTTTTTCTCTATAAAAATATATATATATATATATTTATATATATATACTTAATTTTTATATTTATCTTTTTAATTTTGCATGTCTATATTTTTTTATTGAAATTTATTTTATTATTTTTTATAAATTTATCATATAATTAAATTTTATTAAAAAATGCTATACAAACTAATATAGAATTTATATTAATAAGAAAAAAAATAAAATTTTATTTTTATTTTATATTTACTTAATGTGACAATAGAGTTCATCTTTTAAGTCATTTTCAATTTCTTCAATTGTGTAGTTTCCTGAACTATACGTTTTTTCTTTTTCAGTTATATTAGATTTTTTTTTTTTTTTTTTTTCATTCAATAAAAAAAATACTTTATTTTTAAATTCTTCTCTTCCTTTTAAAATTATTTTACTTAGAGAAGAAGCTAATTGCGTACCATATATATCTAATGCCTGTCTTAACTTGTAAAATAAAAATTAATCAAAAATATGATAATACAAAATGATATTTTAAATCGTCAGTTATTATATAGATATATATTTATGTTACTTGGTAATCTGATAGACTTTCAAATTCCTGTGGTTTTTTCGTTTTTATATTATTAAATGAATTTAATAAGCACTTTTTTATTAAATTAGATAAATATTCTCCCTCCTTAAAAAAGAAAGAGTAAACTATTTATGAGTTTGTTAATAGGTTTTTGTGAAAAAAGAAAAAAAAAAGATACTTTTATGCTATTTTTTTTTAAATTGGCAAAAGATATATCACTTCCTATAACATCTATTCCCTATAAATATAAATAAAAATATGAGGATGAAATTTTTATTAGTATATGTATATATACAATATATTTTTTTCATATACTAAAATCATTAAATTCCATGTAGATTTCTCTGACTTTTTTAAGTAGAATATGTCGCATATCTATAAAAAGAGAAAAATAGAATTTAGAAAATAAAATTCATATATTATAAAACGAAATGATTTATATTAGGAAAATTAATACATCTTTTAGATCTTTAAAATGTTCTAAATTAATTAATCCATCTAAACCTATTTCATTAGCATTTTCCATCTACATGAGTAATAACACACAAGCATAAATAAATTAAATAGCTTTTATATTTTTTATTTATATTAAAAAAAATTTTTATAAGCAATAAAAAAATAACTGAAAAAATTTCCATTCCAAATTGAGGTCCATATAACTTCAGAAAAGCTCTAATATTTATAAAAAAAAAAAAAAAAAAAAAAAAAAAATAATATTAAAAATTTTTATATTGTTTTAATTATACCTCATTTATTATATTTTTTTTTTTTTTTTTTTTTTACTTAAAATAGTTAGTTATAGAACATTCCGTATTAATTCCAAAAAGTGGCATAGAATTTACATATCGTATTAAAAAAATAATACCTATATTAGTATTTGATGTATCTACAAAAATTTTATCTGATTTTCTTACATCTATATATATATTTAAATTAAAATTAAAAGAACTCAAGTGTTTTTTTTGAAACGCTATCGTTGTGTCATTATCTAATATTAAGTTTAATATATTATCATCCTTAGAGTTTTCTTCGTAAGTATATATGAACTGTTCAGAATCACAGCAACATTTAACATTAATATCTCTCTTCCATAAAAGTGTTAACTTTATATATAGAAAAATTCTTTTATCATAAATAAATTTGTTGTTAATTTTTAAAATAACTGATATTTCTACTGACCAATCCCATTCTTCATCAATATATTCCTTAAAATTTTGTACAAATGTATGATTTAAATTTTTATCAATTACTAGCATAAATTCCCAGATCTTATTTTTCTCAACTTTTACTTTAATATGTAAAAAACCATAAGCTGTTTTATAAGAATACAATAATATTGTTTTTAAACCAATACCAAACTTTCCGCACGTTTTACTTTTATCTTTTGATGTTAAAAACATTTCAGCAAAACTTTCTAAATCCTTAATCTGAATACCACCTCCATTATCTCTGCATATAATCTCATAAAATGATAAATTTTTATTATATTCATTTATTAATATTTCAATTTTTTTTTTTTTTTTTTTTTCTTCTTCGTCTTTTATATTAGCTAGTGAATCAATAGAATTATCAAATAATTCCTTAACAGTCATAAATAAAGCATTTTCTTCATAAAATCCTGTTACTGATAAATTTTTATAAAAAAAAGAGTAAGTAGAATTATTTTTTTCATTCATATCATCCATATATAAAATATATATGAAATTAAACTTTCATCAAAATAAATAACAAAAATATTTATTTTGTTTAGATATTAATGTATCCTTATAAGAAATTTAAGACATTATCCTTTGCATTTTTTCTTTTTTTTTTTTTTAAAATTTATTACTTTTTTATCTCAGCGTTAATTTATGAAAATCTCTTTATAATTAAACACACACACATACAGAAAAAAAAAAAAAAAAAAAAAGCAAATTTCTTAAGTAAAATACCATTCAAACAACGGTGTACAAAAAAATTTGCACAGTAATTATGCTAAAATTGTGTATGCATCATATATATAAAATAAATAACTATATAGAAATATATATACTTAATTGACATGAATAAGCAAAACTTTATGAAATATATAAAAAAAAAAAAAAATAATATAGAAAAAAATAAAAAAATAATATAGAAAAAAAATAAAAAAATAAAACAATGTATATAAATTCATACATAAACAAATATATAATAATAAAAAAAAAAAAAAAAAAAAAGTATATTAATTAATAACAATTAAAAACGAATATATATATATAAATGTCAATATAGATAAAATAAAAAATAGAAAATAACAAAATAAAGAATAAATAAAGCAAATCATTGTGTTACTTATAAAAATTTTAAATTATTTTAAAAGATAATTTCATTATTATAAAATGGAGATTTATTTTGTGTAATTTTCATTTGGCATTTCTTAAACATGAGAGATGTCATCGTTAAATATGATTTAAAAAGAAATTTTTTATTTTAATTTTTATAAGTTTAGATATAAAGAAATTATTCATATTTTATATATTGATAATGGAACAAATGGCATTTTAGTAATTTGAGCATTTTCTAATTTATTTAACACATTTACTTTTATATTATTATTAATAATTGATTGCTCAGTTTTTACATATCCCATTGCTATTGGTTTTTGTAATAAAGGAGAAAAAACACTGCTAGTAATAAATCCTATTTCTTCATTTGAATTATTATGAGAATAAATTTTAGAATTTTCTTTAGGTACAATATTAGAATTAATAGTTAAACCGACTCTTTTAATTTTTGTCCCATTTTTTATTTGATCATTAATAATGTTAGCTCCGTTAAAATTTAATTCTTTTAATCTTCTTTTCCCGAATATCCATTTATAATTAGATTCAATAGGAGTAAAATTTTCATTGATATCTTTTCCATATATACAAAAACCACTTTCCAATCGTAAAGTATTTTGAACTGCTAATCCTCCTGGTTTTACTAAATGATTATTTAAAATAGATTCATACAATTCTTTAACATGTTTACTTGGTATTAATATATCAAAACCATCTTCACCTGTGCAAGTATATCTGTTTAGTAAACAGTTATCTATATTATTTAACTTAACTAAATTGCTTGACATAAAGCTAAAATTTTCTAAATTTAGGTCTTTTGATATTTCATTTAATACGTTGGTTGATTTACTTCCTTGGATACAAATAGAACTATGTTCTTTATACTCTTCAATTTTTACATCTAACTTTGTATTTTCTATAAGTTGTTCATTTAAATATTTATAAACTTTGTTTTTACATTGTATATTTAAGTATATTAATAAATAATTTTCTCTTAATATAATCATTATATCATCTAATATTCCTCCCTTTTCGTTTAGTAATAAACTTATTCTACATTCATTCTCCCATAAACCTTTAATATCACTACCTACATATTTTTCTAAAAAGCACATTTTGTCCTTCCCGCTTATCTTTAGAATTGGTCTATATGTGAAATCAAATAATGAGCAGCTTGATCTTGTATGTAAGTGAGTCGTTATTAAAGTATCATTTTTATATTCATCTGGAATATAATAACCATGATGTATCTTAAAGATAGCATTGTTCTTTTTATGAACATCATATAAAATAGTCTTTAATATTTCTTCCTTAAAAAAAAAAAAAAATTATAAATGATATATATATATAAAAGTATTATTAAATATATATTATTAACTAATATAGTAATTATATAATTCTGTAAAATATTATATAATTATATGTTCAAGTATTATGATTGGTAACTTCAATGACTTTATATTATTATTTATTAAATAATAAATTTCTTTATTTTTTACTTCAAATTTACCTTTTTCTTATTAATAGAGGAAAAATATCTAAACAAGAGTAATTTATTTTTATTCTGAAATATTTTCATTTTTCATTTCAAAAAAAACATTTTTAATAAATTCCTTTTTTTTATTATTATAAAATTTTAAATTTATAGATATTCAGTAATATATATATATATAGCAGCCAATGCAGTGTTTATTTATATTACAAAATTTATCAATAAATAAACATATATATATATGTATTTATAAACATATTTTTTTTAATTCTATAATGAAATATATTATTTTACCTTTTTTTTTTTCTTTAAAAATTAAATATAATTCAAAAAAAAAAAAAAAAATTATTTAATTTTATATTTTCAAATAGATTTTCTAAAATTTTTTTATATTTTTTATATATTAGCTAAATTTTTTCTTAAATATTCTAATATGAAATTACAATTTTTTTCTTTTAAAAATTCACATTTTTTTGTAAATTTTTTTTTTCAATAAAATTTAATATTATTTTGTTCTTTAAAATAATATGTTTTTAAACAAATTAGTTTGTAGTATCATTTTTTTTTTTTCTATATGTTATTATTGTATTAACAAAAAATATTATATAAATTACACTGGTTTTATTTTAATTATTTTCATTTCATTTGTATTTTTTTTTTTTTTTTTTTTTTTTTTTTTTTCTTGATATTATATATTTTTTAATGGTATAAATTATATTTATTTGCAAAAAAGATGTTTTTATTCCTCTTTTTTAAAGAATATAGTTTTATTAATGTTGATTATGTTAAGTATGGTTTGTTTTTACTACTTGGTTATTATATGAAAAAAGTAATAAAATGTATAAAAAAAGGGATAAAGACGAAAACAGGGAATCAATGTAATATATTAAAGAAATATTGTTATTCATACTTTTTTTCACACGATAAAAATTTATCAAAAATGGAGAAAAGTTTATTTTATAAAAATTTAGATAAAGAAACTATTGAAAAACATGGGAGGCACATAAATATAGCTGATATCCCATTTCATTCATTTAATAAAATATTTCAAACAAAAGTATTAATTATTGGGATAGGAGGGTTAGGTTCTCCTGTTTGTTTTTATTTAAGTAAATATGGTTTTAAAGAAATTGGGTTGGTAGATGGAGATAAAGTTGAAAAATCAAACTTACATAGGCAAATAATACATAAAGAAAAACACATTGGTTTGAATAAAACTGTTTCTGCTAAATTAACAATAGAAGATATTGATAATGATGTTAATATTGTTTGTTATCCTTTTTATTTAGATAAAATAAATGGCTTAAATATTATTAAAAATTATGATATAATTATAGATTGCACTGATAATATAAATAGTAGATTTCTAATTAATGATATATGCATTTTGTATAAAAAAAAATTAATATTTGGAAGCGCTTTAGGTTTATATGGGCAAATAAATGTTTTCAATTTAAATGAAAACACTTCTAATTGTTATAGATGTTTAAAAAATTTTAATAATCACAAAGAAAATAATAATTGTGATGAAAATGGTATTTTATCTACTGTCACTGGAGTTATTGGTTTATTACAGGCTAATGAAGCTGTTAAACTAGCTGCAAATTTAAATAATGAAATATTAAAAAATTATCTTACTTATAACAGTTTTTCAAATAGAAATCCATTTGAAACATTAAATATTAACCACAAAAATAAAAACTGTATTTGTTCTAATAAACAATTTAAAGAATTATATAATTTTATTATAAATAATGATTATAGCAGTAATAATAAGAAATGTGAATATATAACTTCTTATAAGTATGATATAGAAGCTTTTGATTTTGTAGATATTTTAAATAACAATTTAAAATTTTTTAAATTTCATATTGACCATTTATGCATTTTAGATGTAAGACGATACAACAACACAAATGTATACGGAATAAAAAACTCTATAAAATGGAATTTTTATGAAATTATAGAATTAATTAATGATTACAATACTAATAAAAATAAATTAATTGATGTTATTTTTGAAAAACTCAAAATATCAAACTTAAAAGGAAATATAGTCATTATCATTATTTGCAGAAAAGGAATTGACTCCTTAAAAATAACGAAACATTTTAATAATATTTTTGCAACAGAAGATAAAACAACCAACAATAAATTCGAGCATAATTTAATGAGCTCTAATAATAGTTTTGATAATTTGAAAGATAAGAAAATTTATACATACAATATTAAAGGAGGGTATTCAGAACTACGAAAAAAAATATTTAAAAATTTGCCTTTTTTTTAACCATTCAAAAACAAAAAGAAATAACTTATTTTTAATTTAGATATTTCATATTTTATTTTATTAACATTTATATTGTTTGATATATTATTTTTTTAATAATTTAAATTTTATTTTAAATATATTTTGTAATTGATTAATTATCTTTTTAATAATTTAAATTTATTTTTTCTAAATATTTTATAACTATATAAACTGTAATTAATTTTTTTTTTTTTGTTAAACATTTCTTTTATAGCTATTTTAAATTATTCTTTATATTATTTTATAATAATGAATATTAAAAAAATTAACTATAGCAAACAATTGTTCCTTTATTTTTAAAATAAGTAGTATTTTTTGTTTGTTCCTTATTCTATCAAAAATTCTCAATTTTTTTTTTTTTTTTTTTTTTGAAAAATCATTTTCAATGTTAACTGATAATATTTTTACTCAAAGTATCATACAAAATAATTTTTATAAAAATTCCATATACTTCGTTTTAAAGTTCCTACTGATGTAAATTATTTTATTTTTTTTTTA